AGCTCGTCCACAGAGTAAATTTGTTTTTTCTTTACTTCCTTTCTCTTCCTCTTTTTTCCACTATCTTTCAACTTTTATTCCCCTTCTTCTCCCTTGCTTTCTCCTCCCTTTTCCCCATTCCTCTTCCTTCCTTCCTTCAGTGACCAGACGTTCGTCCGCGGAAATACCTGTTTTCCCCTTCCCCCCTCCTCCCCTCTCTCCCTCTCCTTTTTCTCCCTCTTTGCTTATTTCCTCCCTTTTCCTTATTCCTCTTCCTTACCTCCTTCCTCCTATCCTCCCTCCCTTTTCCTATTCCATTCCGTCCCCTGCTTCCTCTCTGTCTCAATCTCTTTCCCCCTCCTCTCCCTCCTCCTCCTCCTCCTCCTCCTCCTCCATCCTTACTTTTGCTCTTCCCTCCTCTTACTTTTTTCCTCCTCTTAACTCCTTCTTCTTCTTCCCTCTCCCTCCTCCTCTCCCTCCTCCTCTTCGTCTCCCTCCTCCTCCTCCTCTCCCTCCTCCTCCTCCTCTTCCTCTCCCTCCTCCTCCTCCTCCTCTTCCTCTCCCTCCTCCTCTTCCTTTCTCTCTCCCTCCTCCTCCTCCTCCTCTTCCTCTCCCTCCTCCTCCTCCTCCTCTTCCTCTCCCTCCTCCTCCTCCTCCTCTTCCTCTCCCTCCTCCTCCTCCTTCCTCTCCCTCTTCCTCTCCTCCTCCTCCTCCTTCCTCTCCCTCTTCCTCTTCCTTTCTCTCCACCTCCTCCTCCTCCTCCTCTTCCTCTCCCTCTTACTCTCCTCCTCCTCCTTCTTCTCTCTCCTCCTCCTCCTTCCTCTCCCTCCTCCTCCTCCTCCTCTTCCTCTCCCTCCTCCTCCTCCTCCTCTCCCTCCTCCTCTTCCTTTCTCTCTCCCTCCTCCTCCTCCTCCTCTTCCTCTCCCTCCTCCTCCTCCTCTTCCTCTCCCTCCTCCTCCTCCTCTTCCTCTCCCTCCTCCTCTTCCTCCTCCTCCTCCTCCTCCTCCTCTTCTCCCTTCTCCTCCACCTCTTCCTCTCCCTCCTCCTCTTCCTTTCTCTCTCCCTCCACCCCCTCCCCCTCCCCTCTCTCCTCCCCAATTTCTCTTCCCGGGAACATTCCAGAACATTCCAGGATTCCAGAGAGTCATGTGTGCTTTGTGTACACTTCATGTTGTTTTCTTTCTTTTGTTCTGTTCTTTCTATTTTTTATCTCTCTTTGCTATGAAATACACAGTATGTTTGTTTATTTTTTTTTCGCTTTCTCCTTACTCCTCTCCCTTTCTCTCTTTCTTGTTCTTTCTCTCACTTTCCAAGAGTGAGGAGGAAAAAAGAGGGAGAAAAATATCCAGCCTTGATATACTACCGTCTTGCAACCTCCCCCCCCCATCTATTTTTTAATAAAATGAAAGAAAAAAATCAAGGAAAGAAATACAGAACAAATGAAAAGGATTTTTATCCCCTACCTTCGCCTTCTCTTTCCCTATATACCTCCCTCCTTCTTTTGTTTCCCCCCCCCAACCCTCCACCATCTTTCCCCTCCCCCCATCCCTCCTACCTCTTACCTCCCCCTCCCTTCCCCCACCCCTCCCCTACTCCCTCTCACCCCATCCTTCCTCTCTCTTCCACCATCTCTCCTCCCTCTTTCCCTCCCCCTCCCCCTCTCTCTTTCCCCTTCACCCCCACCGTTCCCCCTCTATACTACTCCCCCCCCCTCTTTACCCCCACCCAAAATAAAACAATAAACAACCTCCCTGCCCCCCTCCCCCTCCCCCTAAAGCTTTCTTACCCCTCTCTTCGTCCTCCTCGGCCTCTCCAATTCCTTTAAAGAGATTAAGACAATGCAGGTTCCCCGTCTTGTCCTTTGCGAAGTGAGACGGAGATGCGAACTGGGCGGAGACGTTTTTTTTTTGTGTGTGTGTGTTTTTTTTTTCGTTTTTCGTTGTTATTTTTTCTTTCTTTATTTTGTTTTTCGTTTGTTTGTTTGTTTGTTTATTCTTTTTTTTTCTTTCTTTTTTTTTCGTATTTTCTTTCTTTTTGCGTTTTTTTTCTTCCTTTTTTTGTTTCTTTTTGGTTTTGTTTTGGTTCTGTTTCCGGATTTGTTTTGAATCTGTTTTGTCTTTGTTCTCGTTCTTGTCCGTTTTATTTATTTTTTTGTTTTGTTTTACGTTGTTATCTTTCTTTCCTTTATTTTCCGTTTCGTTTCTTTCTTTTTTTTTTCTTTTTTTTTGCCCCTTCTTCTCTTCGTCTTCTCCTTCTCTTCTCCCATACGCATCCCTCCCCCCCTCTCTTCCTCCATTCCTTTCCCCCCCTCTTCCCCCACCCTTCCCCCCTCTCTTCTTCTGTTTCCTGTTTTGTTTTTGTCTTTGTTTTGTTTAATTTTATTTAGTCGCTTCTTGTTTTGTTTCTTGTTTGGTTCTGCTTCGAATACGCTTCCGTTTTGTTTTCGTTTCAGTTGTACTGGTAGGAGTATTAGTAGTAATAGTAGTAGTAACAGTAATAGCAATAGTTCTAGTAATTGTAGTAGTAGTAATGATAGTAGTAGCAGTAGTAGTTATAGTAGTAATTGTAGTATTAGTAGTAATAGTATTAGTAATAGTAATAGCAATAGTTCTAGTAATTGTAGTAGTAGTAATGGTAGTAGTAGCAGTAGTAGTTATAGTAGTAATTGTAGTATTAGTAGTAATAGTAGTAGTAATAGTAATAGCAATAGTTCTAGTAATTGTAGTAGTAGTAATGATAGTAGTAGCAGTAGTAGTTATAGTAGTAATTGTAGTAATAGTAGTAATAACAGTAATAGCAATAGTTCTAGTAATTGTAGTAGTAGTAATGATAGTAGTAGCAGTAGTAGTTATAGTAGTAATTGTAGTATTAGTAGTACTAGTAGTAGTAATAGTAATAGCAATAGTTCTAGTAATTGTAGTAGTAGTAATGGTAGTAGTAGCAGTAGTAGTTATAGTAGTAATTGTAGTATTAGTAGTAATAGTAGTAGTAATAGTAATAGCAATAGTTCTAGTAATTGTAGTAGTAGTAATGATAGTAGTAGCAGTAGTAGTTATAGTAGTAATTGTAGTATTAGTAGTAATAGTAGTAGTAATAGTAATAGCAATAGTTCTAGTAATTGTAGTAGTAGTAATGATAGTAGTAGCAGTAGTAGTTATAGTAGTAATTGTAGTATTAGTAGTAATAGTAGTAGTAATAGTAATAGCAATAGTTCTAGTAATTGTAGTAGTAGTAATGATAGTAGTAGCAGTAGTAGTTATAGTAGTAATTGTAGTAGTAGTAGTAATAGTAGTAGTAACAGTAATAAGAGTTCTAGTATTTTCTAGTAGCAGTAGTAGTAGTAGTAGTTATAGTAGTAATTTTAGTAGTAGCAGTAGTAATAGTAGTAACTGTAAGAATAGTAGCTGTAGTAATAGTAGAAGTTATAAGTGTAGTAGTAGTAAGAATAGTAGGAGTAGTAGTAATAATAGTAGTAATAGTATTAGTAGTAGTAAAAACAGTTGTAGCAATGGCAATAGTAGTAAAAGAATGTAATCACAAAAGCAATAATAAGAAAATAAACGAACATAACTCCGTTTTCTATTCGAGTCTATGATCCGCGGACACAACGCATAGAAAACGGCTGTAAATCATCGAGAGTGCGTTATGCTGTTCTTTATTTCAAGGCCTCTGGCTCTTTGATTCTTTCTAGCTTATCTGTCTACGTTTATGTTTGTCTGTTTATATAACTATGTACATATATTTATCTAATTATCTATCTATCTATCTATATATATATATCTAGCCTTTCATCTACATATATCTATCTATCTACCTATCTACATATATTTATCTATCTGCATCTAGCCAACTATCTGTATGTATGTATGTATGTATGTATGTATGTATGTATGTATGTATGTATGTATGTATGTACGTATGTATGTATGTATGTATGTATCTTTCTGTCTGTTATCCCATCTATCTATCTATCTGCCTGTCTGTCTGTCTGTTTATCTAATTCTGTATGTATCTATAAACATCTACCTACTTATTCATCTACATAATAGTAGTAATAGTATTAATGTTAATAGTAGTAGTAGTAGTAATAATAGTATCAATGGAAATAGTAGCAGTAGTAGTAATAGTATTAGTAGCAATAGCAGTAGTAGTAATAGCATTAGTAGAAATAGTAGTAGCAATAGTATTAACATAAAAATTGTGGTAATAGTAGAAATAGTATCAGTAGTAGTAATAGTATTAGTAAAAATAGTAGCAGTCGTAACAATAGTATTAGTACAAATAATATCAGTAGTAGTAATAGTACTAGCAGAAATATTAACAGTAGTAGTAATAGCATTAACAGAAATAGCAACAGAAGAAAAGTGAAAGAGGAGATCAAAGACGTTGCTCTCCTTATTCCTGAACCGCCAAGGAAATTCGCAGGGAAACCGAGGACTGACATATGGCGAGCGACTTGTTTTAAAGGCAGGAGGGAAAGCGGGCAGGGCCGGGGAAGGCAACGCGTGAGGGAGCGAGGGACGTGGAGGGGAGGAAGGGGGAGGGGTGGCTGGGGGGACACACACGCACACACACACATACACACACACACACACACACACACACACACACACACACACACATATATATATATATATATATATATATATATATATATACAAACACATATTTATACATATATTTATGTACATACACATATATAAATATATACATTTACGCATACAAGCAAAAATACCCAGAAATGCATTCTCAAAAAGTAAATAGATAATTGAGTAGAAATAAAGATAATGAAAAAAAAAGAATAATGATAATAATAACAGCAATAATAATAATAATAATAATAATAATCATAATAATAATAATAATAATAATAATAAGAATAGTCATAATGATAATAATAATAATAATAATAATAATAATAATAATAATAATAATAATAATAGTCATAATGATAATAATAATAATAATACTGATGACAACAATAATGACAATAAAATAATAATAAAAATAAAACCATTTAC